CCCCCGGTGCCCCCCCCCAAGCCCCCCCCCCAAGCTGCTTGTTTCCATCATCTCTGGGTTCCACTGAGTGTCCCACGTCACTCCGGGGCTTGGATCCTTGGAAAACTTCTCTGCAGCCCTTCCTGGAGGCTCCGAGTCACCCACTGTGCTTTCAAAGGCATCTGCTGGAGGGTCCCTCCTGGGGTTTGCATCGTGCACTGAAACAGAGAGATTTGAGAGCCTCACCTGGGGAAGCTGCTCAGGAGCCTCCCCCAGGGCTGCAGGCACAGCAGGGACAGAGAGGAGCTGAGCTGGGGGCTTTAAGCTGAGAGGAGAGCAAGGACAGAACATGGAATCACAGAATTGTTTGGGTTGGAAAAGCCCTTTAAGGTCATGGAGTCCAACCCTTCCCCCAGCCCTGCCCATTCCCCACTGCCCCATGTCCCTCAGCACCATCTCCAGGGCTTGGAAACCCCTCCAGGGATGGGGACTCCCCCCCTGCCCTGGGCAGCCTGGGCCAGGCCCTGACAACCCTTGGCAGGCAGGAATTGTTCCCCAGATCCAACCTCCACCTCCCCTGGCACAACTTGAGGCCGGTTCCTCTTGTCCCATCCCTTGTTCCTGGGGAGCAGAGCCCGACCCCCCTGGCTCCAACCTCCTCTCAGGCAGCTGCAGAGCCAGCAGGTCTCCCCTCAGCCTCCTTTGCTCCAGGCTGGACACCCCCAGCTCCCTCAGCTGCTCCTCACAAGTTCTCCAGCCCCTTCCCCAGCTCCTTGCCCTCCTCTGGAAGGAGCTGGGTGGAGCTGACCCAGCCTTACACCAGGGCAATATCCTGGATGACCTTTTTCTGTGGGGCAAAGTCATTCCCATTGGCAGCTCCCAGCATCCTGAGAGGTTATCCCTTGGTTGACTGCATCCCAACTTCATCACATGCCCAGGAATGAGTAACTCCAGGAGGGAAGGAGCTCCAGGCTACCAGCTGATTGCCACACACAATACTCCCCCACACCCCCTCCTCAGTCACCCCCCTGAGCTACACTGGGAGCTCCTGGGCTGTGGCCCAGGGGATTGTATTGAATTAACATCCCCACACAAATCCACACCCATTCCCTGAGGTGAAGCCTCCAGACAAAGGTGAATCTCCCTTTGTGGACTCCACTGCAGGCATGACCCCTGCTCCAAGGACAATCCTCCCCTGGAGGAAGGTTAGCAGGAACATCTGCAAAGAATCCTTCAGAATCCACTGCACTTGCCTGGACACAACCCCCAGGCAGCACCTGGGGCAGTTTTAGGGCAGCTGAAGGAGGAAGGAGCCTCTTCAGCTGATAGAACCTGCAGACTGTGAATAAACATTGCCCAGCAGACTGAGCTTTGCTCCAGATCCTTCCTGGCTGACGTGATGAGGTCGTGACATTCCATGGAGTACCAGAAATGCTCTAAACCAAATTTGCCACCCCAGAAATCTCAGCTGAAACCCATCCCTGACCTGTACTTGAGTCTGCAGAGATCTCTTCTTTCTCCAAGTCCTGCTCCGGGCAGCGTGGCTCCTCCTCTTGTTTAATCCATGATAGAACATCAGTTGCATAAGCCTGGAATCCTGTTCGTGGGGGGGAAATTACACAACTGAGACACACGGGAGAGAGACGCAGGATGTGGGAACTCACAGAGAGAGGGAGGTGCTGACAAAGCCTGAGGGAGGCCATGAGGAGCCAACCTGAGGGGTAATTCCTGCAGTGGGTGTTTTTGCCAGGGAATCCTCACCTGTGTCAGGGTCTCTTGGGAAGTCCTGGCTCTCCATGCCTGGCAGCTCCCTGGGATCCACCTCTTGGCTGTTCCTGGCCTGACTTGAAGCCTCAGGCTCATAAAATGTTTCCTCTGCTAAAGGAGAAAACCCAAAACAAGCCCATCAGACCTGTGCAAGCTCAGGATTCCACAAGGGTGAGACCTGCTCTTGTTTTGCTGTTTCCCATCAAGCCAAGTTCCCCCAAGCCCAGTTTCTTAATGAAACCTGGATGGAAAGGTCTAAAAATGCCAGTGTGCTACATGCACTGGAAGGTAAGTAACGTGAGAGCAGAGCCTACAGGGAGAGCTGCTCCCCTTGGTGAAGGGTGAGGCCAGCCAAGCTCCAGCATGGAAAGCTTCCTCTGTAAGGAAAAGAGGCACCACCAAGTGAGGAGGCAAGAAACAGCCCCCCTGGGCTGTGTCACCTCCCCACACAGCGACAGCACGCGCTTCTGGAGGCAGAAAATCCACAGAGGAGAAGGGAGGAGGGAATAAAGACAACCTGCCACCTCTGGGTATGAGGGAGGAGAGGCACTGAGGTCCCTGCAGGAGGAGGCTGCAGGGGATGTGGAGCTGAGGAGCTGCCACAGCTGCTCCAATTCACATGCAGCTGGTGGCACCGGCCATGGAGCTCGTCCTGGCACCGGCTTCTGCCTCCTCCAAATGGACCCTCTGGCCTCTGAAAGTGCCTCGTGGCCCCCTGTGCACCAGATACTGAACCAGCTTAGAGCTGCCCACTCAGGCTGATACTATCAAGTCAGGAAAAGAAAACATTCCCTGTTCCCTGCTGCACTGCTGGGGTGAGAACCAGCCCCTCCGAAGCGGCTGCGAGGAGGGAAGGATGAAACACCAGCCCTTACCTGTTGGGACTGGTGGCAAGTCTGTTCCAAACCTGGGAGCTTTTTATGAAAGGTTTGGAATATGTGAAGAGAATAAAACAACAACCAAAAAAAAAAAAACCAAAAAAAAAAAAACCAAAAAAAAAAAAACCAAAAAAAAAAAAACCAAAAAAAAAAAAACCAAAAAAAAAAAAACCAAAAAAAAAAAAACCAAAAAAAAAAAAACCAAAAAAAAAAAAACCAAAAAAAAAAAAACCAAAAAAAAAAAAACCAAAAAAAAAAAAACCCCACTCAAATCCCTGGAATTTAATCCCTCTGTGTAATTTTCCCTCCCAGGTATGCAGTTACTCACCTGGGCAGGGCTCTCCAGGAGCTTCTCCAGCCTCCCCCTCCTGCTGATGTGCAGAGCACAGCTCTTCTTCTTGCTTAATATGGACGGTGCTGCCTTCTGTCAAGAGGAACCAGCAGGATTTTAACTCCATGCACAACACTCCTTCCCATTCTCACCCCATCCCAGGCATGGCAGCTCTGCTCCAGCTCACACTCTCAGAAGAAACCTGACTTCAGTTCTAGCTCTCGCTGACCAAAATCTGAAAGATTTGTCCCAAAACCCTCAGTGGATGTTCTGAGCCCCAGGAACACCCATTTGCACACGGGTGTAACGTCCTTTTGGTTGCCCCTTGGCAAATGAAAACCCATTCTCTGTGGCCCCAGGAGAGCAGGGCACCACTTGGACTCTCATGCTGGAGTTTTGTCCCCCTCTTGGCTCTGCCTTTCCCTTTGCAGTCCCTCTTGGCCAAACACCCCCCTCCTCAGCAAAGGAAATGATGAATTAAACTGATGGAAAAAGAAGAAACAGAGAAGAAACACCCAAGGGAAACCAGCCCTGCACATCTTTCTAGCCCTGGCACAGGGAGCAGGAGGGACCCTGGGGGCTCCGTGTATGTTTGTGTGCATGGACAGGGAATTCCAGCAGGCAGCCTGGAAAGCTGAACCTCATCCCAGCTTGGGCTGCGGGGCAATGCTGCGGGGCACGGGTGCGGGGCACGGCAGGCCTGGCACCGGGAGATGGGGAGGAGGGGTTGGGTGCAGAGCTCTGGTAAGACTGGGAGACGAGACGCCCGATGGCCAAGTCTGGGAGACCGGGC